GTTTAGACCCGAAAGATCTTAATAACTCAATAAAAAGAGGACATTACAAAGCACCGTCCGCTGAATCCATCTCAAATCACCTGAGTGGAAAGAAAGTATTCACCGTAATTGACATGTCCAACTGCTACTGGCATAAAAAACTTGATGAAGAGTCATCCTATCTGTGTGCATTCAACACACCATCCGGTCGATACAAGTTCAATCGCATGCCTTTTGGCATATGTTCTGCATCGGATGTAGCGCAGAAAATGGTAGATGATGAATTTTCTGACATCCCTGGTGCACTAGCAGTACATGATGACATCATAGTCTCAGGTGCCAACACAGAGGAGCATGACATAGCTCTAGAGAAAGTCCTACATCGAGCAAGAGAACGAAACATAAAATTCAACAAGAAGAAGATCCAACTACGAGTCACTGAAGTGAAATATCTTGGCAACATCGTTAGTGCTAAAGGATTCACTCCTGATCCTGAGAAGATTAAAGCCATTGTCGAAATGCCTCTACCAAAGAGCAAGCAAGATTTACAACGCCCATTAGGAATGGTGAACTATCTTTCACAGTACATACCAAACATGTCTGAGATCACTGCGCCACTGCGTACCCTTCTCAAAAAAGACATACAATGGTTCTGGCACAACGAACACCAGAAAGCACTCGAAAGAATCAAGAAAGTCCTCACAAGCAGCCCAGTTTTGCACTTCTACGACATCGATAAGCCTGTTATCCTCCAAGTTGATGCGTCACAAGGTGGACTGGGTGCATGTTTAATTCAGGAAGGACACCCAGTAATTTATGCATCCCGATCACTCACCAATGCTGAGCAGCACTATGCTCAGATAGAGAAAGAGCTGCTCGCAATCGTTTTCGCATGTGAACGTTTCAACCAATTCATTTATGGGACACAAGTCACAGTACACAGCGACCACAAGCCGTTGGAAGCCATCATAGCTAAACCATTATCACAAGCACCACCGCGAATTCAGCGTCTTCTCATCCGACTACAGAAGTATCACCCAACAGTGAAATATGTTCCCGGGAAATTCCTGTTTATCGCCGACACTTTGTCAAGAGCGTACTTACCAGAAGAACGAGAACAACAGGAACTTAATGAGGACATTGAAGTAATGGTGCACAGCATGGTTACAGCAATACCAGCATCTCCTGAGAAAATGGCAGAGCTTAAGGAAGAAACAGCGAATGATGAAACGCTACAACAACTTAAACAGCAGATGGTTCAAGGTTGGCCTGATCGTAAGCATGAAATCCCGCAAAACTTAGCTACCTACTGGAACATTCGCCATGAGCTGAGTGAAGCAGAAGGTCTGATCTTCAAAGACCACCAGTTAGTCATACCTACAGCAATGAGGAGCAATATGCTCAACCTGATACATGAAAGTCATCTCGGGATAGAGAAATGCAAAGCACGCGCAAGAGCAATCCTTTTTTGGCCTGGAATGTCAAAAGATATCTACGAGAAAGTATCAAAATGTGCTACTTGCGCCACATATAGAAGAAGAAACCAGAAGGAACCGATGATAGCACATCCAATACCTGAACGACCATGGCAAAAGCTAGGAACTGATCTGTGTGAATGTAAGGGCAAGAATTACCTCGTTGTAGTAGATTACTATTCGAAGTTCATCGAAACAGCCCTTCTTCCAAACAAGACAGCAGGAACAGTAATTAGACATTTGAAATCAATTTTTGCCAGACACGGAATCCCAGAAGAGTTGGTATCCGACAACATGCCCTTCAATAGCAAAGAGTTTGACGAATTCGCCAAAGAATGGAGATTCAAACAAACAACATCAAGCCCAACCTATGCTCAATCAAATGGCATGAGTGAAAAAGCTGTACAAACCGTAAAACGGATCCTGAAGAAGGCTGACGATCCATACGTTGGTCTGATGGAGTACCGTAACACGCCTGTTACTGGAATGACATACTCCCCATCACAACTGCTGATGAGCCGCACCACAAGAACGAAGATTCCGATATCCAAAGAGTTACTACTACCAGCAGTGCCAATCAATGCACAGCAGCAGCTTGAACAACGACAGAACCAGCAGAAGCAGAACTACGACAAATCAACCAAACCATTACCACCACTTGAAATTGGAGAAAACATCCACCTACGCCAGGACAGTATCTGGGTACCAGCCACCGTATCTGGACTGGCCCCTGCCCCAAGATCGTATATCGTCACAACATCAGATGGACAACAATACAGACGGAACCGTCGTGACCTTTTAAAGACCAACATTCCGCCTTCAACCATAATAGAGCAAACTGAGGATGTTGGTGAAGAACAACCGACCATTATTCCACAACCACCAGATTTAGACCTCCAGAATCCACCTAATCAGGGGTGACCAGTGAGAACCACAGCGCTACCAATAAAATACAGAGACTATGTCATGAAATGAAATAGATTTAATCAAACTTTCTGAGATACTTTCAACTTATCCTGCCTATAGTAACTGGACTATTATTACCTATAGATAAACACGGACACAATTATTCGAACAGTTCATATTAAAGTTATATTAATATTTTGTTAGTTTAAGAAGGGGGATGCACAGGGTGTTAGCCAGGTGGCCGTCCGACCGTCCTATGGACGGCCACTTCTGAATTTGGACGGCTAAATTTTAATTGACGGCCATATTGGACGGCCTAAGGGAATATTTTCTTTAAATACTGTAGCAACCTACAAGCTTTCTAATATTTCTTGAATTCTTCGCGCCATATTTTTGTAAAACGCGCCATGTTTTTGTAAATGTCTCGCATGAAGTATCAAGGAGAATGTGAAATCGCTGTTTTAAAAAACAGCAATCGCTTTATCGCTCGAGCGTCACGTTACAGTTACGGTAGTGATCATACCATACGTGTGCTTTTACTAATTTAATGATGGAAATGTGCATCTAAAACTAAAAGTAAAAAGGTTCAACGAATAAAACACCACAATTCCTCAACAACAGAAAATTGAGGCCACGCCCAAAAACATGTGACCACGCCCACAAAAATATGTTGCCACGCCCACAAAATTATTTTGGACGGCCACTTTTGAAATCCTGGCTAACACCCTGGGGATGTAATACATTGACATTGACAAGTTGGACACCCCCCAATTGTCTAGACATAACATGTCATCACGTTTTATATTCGATAAATATATTCATTGTAGGTTCAACGTTAATGGCGTAACACTGTTTATTACATTTATTATAATTAAACTATTTCTAATGAATAAAATTACTAAAAGCTCAGGGTGCATTCCATGTAAACTCTACGCCGAAGATACGCTGAAGAGATCATCCTTGCACTATTCACCGACACTGAGGTCTGAGGATGAATAATTTTTTTAATAGCATATACCATAAAAAACAAAAATGACCCTCAGTCCTCAAAATCCATGTTGCCACGCATAACGTCGAATCGACATTATGGGTAGGTGGACGGGTTTTTACTTCAACTCCTCAACGTTATCTCATGGCAATTTGACTATTTACATCCGAACAGACCAAAGTTTAAATATTTAATGTTTGCTGGGCAACTTTTGCCAGTATTATATTATTTTCAACTAATACAGGTCAAAACAAAGGTCGAAGTATTGAAGCGACATTTTTTCGTGTCAAATACCCGTCAATTTGTGTTCACGAATCGCGGTATTTTTCTGCGAGACGGATACTGTAGTTCAGTATGAAAATAATAATAAAACATACCCTATAAAACTTCTCATATTTTATAATAAAGATCCTACATCCCATATTTTATAAGAGGCACTTTTCCCATTTTGATTTTGGGCTCTTTTAGCGGTCAAAATACAACAGGGTAACGATCGACGTTATCTGAGGTGGGTGGGTGGTTACTGGTGATAACGTCGATTCGACGTTATGCGTGGCAACATGATTATGGACGTGGCCCCTGTAATAGGTGAGGTTTGGAATCTATAAAATCACAGGTTTTACATAATTGAAGCGTGCACCCAATAAGGAAACGTGCCATTATCTCACGACAAATCCTGTGGTAACGAGCTATAATACAAACGAGTTTCACAGCTTTCGAGTTCAATGTACTATTACATAGTCTGAATACAGTCTGGGTCTCCGGACTGGATCCAAAAATATCTTTATAAATATGTAATAACTGAAAATAAATGCCCTTTTGAACATTTTCACCAGCAGGGAAATAAGACAATATTCCTACCTTCCTTCTACACTGCGCCTCATCCGTCGAAGTGCAAATGGTACAAAATATTCCACACATTTTCAATATTTCTCTACTTTTTCTCGTTCATTTCTGCCGCCATATTGGATTTTACCGCGCCACAGCCTGGATCTAGAATCCCACTGACCTTATATGGATGGAGCTCACTGACCTTCATAAGTAACTGAAATGAAATTATTGAAAACCAATATGGCGGCCGGTCCAGATGTTGATGATTTGGAACCGCTTGAACCATCCATCAATAATCTTATCGAACAGACTAGTTTGAAGTGGATATTTGTTGGTGGGAAAGGTGGAGTAGGAAAGACTACATGTAGGTTAGTAGCAAGCTTCATTTTCCTTTTGTATAGCGTAAATGCAGTACGTTTTTAGAACTTTGTTGTTCATTTTATATTAAATTAAAAAGGACAGGTGAAAAATTGTACCGCATGTTGTAACTTTTCGACGGCTGATATTGAGTTAGTATTTCTCCTCACCAAGCATGAGTCACTATGTCAATGCAAAAAGACAAATGAACAATTTTATTTTTTAATAATATAGTGACGTCATTACAATGACGAGTCGACGACATTTATGTACGAGTCAATTCCAACTGCGATCATCCCCTCCCCCCGGCGAACCCCCGGGAATTTGACTTTTCAAAAAAAGTACGGTCAAATTTCCGATGGTGCGGGCGGAACCCATTGTCAAATTCCCAACGGTGCAGGCAAAAACATTAGGGGCCACGTCCATATATTCATGTTGTCATGCATAACGTCGTATGGGTGGGTGCCGGGTGGGTTTTTACGTCAACTCCTCGATGTTATCTGACTTATCTCGTGGCAATTTGACTATTTACATTCGAACAGACCGAAGTTTAAGTTTTGCCGTGCAACTTTTGCCAGTATTATATTATTTTGAACTAATAGAGTTCAATTGG